AAAAGAGGATCATGAGTTCAAGGCCAGCCTGGACTACATAATGAGACTGTATCTGAAACACACACATAACACAGACAGACAGACAGACAGACACACACACACACACACACACACACACACACACACACATATACACACACACAAAAAAAAATAAGTGTGTAAATAAAAGTTTTTATATTTAAAAAATCATGAAAAGGCAAAGAATGTGTTAACTAAAATGTTTTCAAATTCAGAGCCTTTTCTACTTGTCAGATCCTGCTCTTTATGGCAAGTGACTCTTACTTTTGTTGGTCACATGAGCAGAGGTCAAGTATAGATAGTAGCTGTGGATGTTGCTAGTCAATTTCCCCGCTCTGTTCAAATGCATGTTATTGAGAAAACTGAAGACAGAGGAATGGAAAGATGAGACTGCCATATAAACATTAATTTAAATGCAGCTTCAAGTAATGGATTTGACTGCATTATGCACTCCTTTATTGTGTCTTATCTCTATAACGTTGTTCATAAAATCACTGAGCCCAAACAGAAATGTAAGAGAATTTCCTGGTTTCTTTCCAATCTTTTGTGACTTGCCCAAGGAGATATTTCACCTCATTGTGTAGATCTGATTTACTTCACAGTTTATGAGTCACTTTGTTCATCTTAAATATAATACAATTATGTCTTCTAAACCATTTATAGGCTGGCCATGACAACAGCTAGTGATCAAGTTGTTTCAAAATAATAATAGTCATGTAGACAATGGAATGCTAAATATCTTCAATGTTTGTTAGAAAGTCTAGTTTTAGGGAACAGAAGACCGTATGAAAACAATAAATGGCAGTGTCAACAGGCAGGTTGTCACTAAGGGCTGAAGCCCAGATTTAGGGGATCATTTTGGGGTATGAGTGCCCCCTGCATGCTTGTCTCTTAAAAAACAAGGGTGTTTTCTGTGCCACGTGTCTACAAGAAGAAGTGGTACAGCCAAGTTGTCCACAGCTCTAACTTTCAAAGCTGTGTTAGGAGGCTAGCCTGAGCCCACAGCAGCCCTCATAATGTGGCTACGGAGGGCTTTTTGTTTTCTTTTGTTTTTGAAGCTAAATTTTCAGTGTGTGACCAGTAGCTTAGTTGTGTAGCAGAAAAGGCTCAGAACCAAGCTTCTACTTTTCCATTTGCTTCAGCCAGACTTTGGGTTTTCAAATGTGTTTCAGCTTATTTGTCCCTATTTTAGGCTTAATAATCTGCACTCTGTTCTGGTTCCAGAGATGTGGTGAGGTTCAAATTATTTATGTCAAAGGGAATCGTATTGCAGTTTGAAATTGTGTCTCATTAGAATAGTGCCTGCCTTTCAGTTCACCCGATTCTGATTCCATTAATATTTCTCGATTATTAGAAATAAGGAAGATTTATTTTTCTCTTCATTGGTTATCAGGCCTTTTGATCACAAATGAAATTGGATAATTCCTTTTAACTCTCTAAGAATTCTGCTTTCTGAATCAGCAAGGTTCCATTTGAAGAAATGTACTTTCATTTTTAGGTTCTATGTGAGGACCATGTTCTGTGGGGTAAAAAAAGGTGGAAAAGGTGACCGGCTTTCAGAAATACACAATTGCTCTTCGAGACTTCTCTTGGGATAGAAATGGAGTAATAAAATCAGAAATCACAGAATGGCTTCTATTTCAAAGTCAGACTGCCTGACCTTGCCTGCATAGTTCAGGCAGAAATGAAGGAGGAACATGGAGAAGGAAATTGAGTTCCTTCAAGTGACGCATGACCATACGACATCCATCTCCGATTGCAGTGTAGGTCAGGCACTTAAGGGCCGAAGGTCCTGGTAGAAATAGTGCTCTGTTGTTTTCATCCTCATTCCACACTGTTCTGATTAAAGCCCTGCTCCCTACTGTAAATGTACATGTGTGTGTATATGCGCGCGCGCGCTCACACACACACACACACACACACACACACACACACACACACACACACTCCCATATACCACTAGCATTATTGGGAGCTGCAGCCAATCATTTAAAGATAGGAGAATTCTTTCTGATATGTGCTTGGTTCTTTGGTTTGCTTTTTGGCTTTCTCTTGAAGCCATTATTGGGACATCACAGATTTTCAGGCCCCTGGGCATTTTGGACTCCACTTCAACCTTGAGGAAGGAAGCTTCATGGATTGTGGGAGTATGGCCAGAGCTGTCAGGTTTCAGCAATCAGTTTGCAACCACCCCTTTCAATGGGAGATTTTTCTCATTCTCAATGTAGTGGTCTGTGTGTACGGTCTGGTCCCTCTATTGCTGCAGCATAGATGAGCTACCCAATCTTCCAGTATTAGCTAGATGAAAATGTTGAGAATTTTTTTTTTCCTTTGAAGTTGTTTTGTGTCAGCAGAGCCGTTCCAACAACGGGGGAGAGGAATTAAGATCTCATGAACATCATCACATCCACAGACAGGCATACCTTGTCTCTTAATGTGGTAAAATAAGATGGGGAAGCATTTTGGGTTTATTTGTAGTCTTGCCCTGTCAGTGAAATCATTGCTTGGGATATTTGTGTATGTCTGACTGTGTGGGGGAGGTTGCTAGGTCTGTAATCATTGCTGTGTTGGTTTAGGGAGGCTCAATACATCTTTTGCTTTGCTATCTTTTAGAAGGGTGAGTGGAGAGAAAATACTATGAATGTAGGATTTTGTCACCTGCAAACTCTGGGCAAGTCATTAGCACCTGAGAAATTAGATGGTAAGACCTGAGGAGGAAGGTGTCTTTATTCAGCCATAATCCTCTAAGTTGAGGTCTAACGGTTTTGTGATACTAGGCAAAACATTGAACTAGCCTTAGCCTTAGTTTCCCAACTTGTAAACTGTGGGCTATATTTTGAGTTGCAAAGAGATGGTGAATATAAAAGACTTTGCACAATGTTCAAGCTGGTGGCAAGAGGGTACAGATAAGATGGTGGTCATTTAGAGGCATTATCAATGCCCTGTAGATAACAACATTCCTTATATTTGAGGAACAGGACTTAATTGCCCCAATGTAAGAGGAGATTTTCTTTGTGGGTTGGCAATGTAGCTCAGTTGGTAGAATGATTGCCTAGCATGTATTCGTGGCACCATGCGTTTATCCACAGCACCACATAAACTGAGTGTGGTGGCACATGTCTGTAATTCCCCAGCTCAGACAGTAGAGGAGCCTTGGAAGTTCATGGCCATCCTGGCTAGCCTGGGATATGAGAGACTCTGTCTCAAGGAGAAAATGAGAAAGGAAAAAGAAAAAGAAGCTAGGCTTGGCTGGGGCCTTTGAGCCCCCCCCCCCCCCCCCCCCCCCCGCCATTAGGGTCCTCATTTCCTTCAGAGCCCCATGACTCTGACCATTGCTTCTCCAGGTGACCTGGCTCTGCTTCCTGTGGTTCTGACTGATGCTCCCCCCGGAGCCCCACCTCCTACTGGAAAAAGGAAAGACCTGGGGGTAGCAAAAAGATGGAGCCCTGTGGGGAAATTCTGTCCTTCATTTTTACCAAGACTTGCATACTACATTCCCTAACAGTTAAAGGTTCCTGTCTGCAGGGAATGGATTAGAAACACTTCTGTTATAGGATGGAGACAGGTATGATGTCTGTCTAAATAATGGTGGCTTAGGATAAAACATGGCAAAGATGATAATGGTTTCCTTTTGATGACTAAAAGAGACATGGTTGGACCGCAGGGTGACCTACCCTCACTCCACATGCAGATGTTTAGGCCTGTTTGCCTCTGGCTATAACTAGAAACCATTTACCTGTCTGTAATTTTGCTATATTGCCACACCTTAAGGAGGTTGGTTATTGGAAGAAATGCCATGGAAATGATTTGTAGCAAGTATGTCTCTTTCTTCAAATCAAAGCACTCCTTCATCTCCCCCCTTAAAGCACAATATAGAAGCTTTTATCAGAAAAGGGGAGAAGGTGCCCGCTGTTGCTAGGCAACCAGAAAAAAAAAAACCCTGCAAGCCCAGTTACAGTCGCTATTAGCAAGATTTTCCCAGAAACCTAGCTGCTCTTACAAAGTCCTTTGTGTAACATTAACAGACATGCATAGTGGGAGAATAGAAGGTATTTTTCATTCTTCAATGCCCTTTTCCTACCCCTTGTCCACACTATTGGAGCCCCAGATAGATGATACTTTATCTATCTATCTATCTATCTATCTATCTATCTATCTATCTATCTATCTATCTATCTATCGAGACAGGGTTTTTCTGTATAGCCCTGGGTGTCCTGAATTTCACTCTGTAGACCAAGCTGCTTTGAACTCAAAGATCCTGTTGCCTGTGCTTCCTGAATGCTGGGATCAAAGACATGCACCACCATGCAGCCTGAAACCAATTCTTGACTTGAGGTGTTCTGAAGGAAGATGTAATACAGATACATACATGGTTATGACACATAGGAAAATCTTCGTTTTCAAGACCTAACTCTGAAGGAGAAAGCTTGTAGATTCAAGATACCTTTATTCAGATAAATACCAGCCAAATGCAAGCTAGAGCAGCAAGGCCAGGGAGAAGGGGCAGCAGCAGCAGAAGAGGCTGTTCCATGTGCTTACGGTTGCTTAAGAGCCCATCCCACATCACCTGACCTCACCTTGACCACGCCTTAACAGGCGTGGTCAGGCACACCTGTATCCAGCCCTTAGGAGGCGTGGTTACAGTGTCTCCCTACATAACTCCATTTAAGAAAATCAATGGGGATTCTTTTCTCTGGTAGCAGGGATGTAACAGCTGTGAATAGGACCAGTTTTTATACACTTGACACTTCCTTAAGAGTGTTCCATGAAGGTTATTTTCACTACAAGGAGATATTTGTGTCCACAATTGAATACCGATGACATCACTAGATAGCTACTGTGTTCCTCTCTTGCTAGACTTGGGTATTTTTCTCCCTGGCTGACCATGAGGCCACTATATTTCCTGATTCTGAGCAAAGTGTCATCTACCTTGTGGGTCCCAAATGGATTCTCCTGTGACCTATGATGTCTTTCTGTTGCAGATTTGGACTCCTTCCAGAGTGAATCCCCAGGTCCACAGGACACAAGTCAACATGGCCCTCAGCCACAGATACTCACAACAGAAGCAAAACTAACTCTCCCGATGGCAGCCAGACATGGTGGGGATGCTGGAGATGGAGCCGAAGAAAACATTGTTTACCTCTGAGTATATGTGCTCATTTATTGTTTCCCAAGCAAACAAATAAAAACACTGGCACTTTGGGGAGAAACTTCCCTGGGGCCCAGTCCTGTATGTGTGATTGTTTGTGCCCAAATTGCTTTAAGAAGAATATTTAATATTTCATGCAAGTTCATTCTTTTGGGCATAATTCTAATAATTAAATTATTGAAAAACAGCTCTCTGTGTATCATCTTTAATTTATCTCACTTATCAAGTTTCCAGAGGAGAAACTTAACTTGAGTAAGCTGAAGGATATGAAAAAGCTGTTTTGACTTTGAAGTTCCAAATTGCACTTTGTACCCGTTCATCTGGCGTGTGAAATGCCTTTTAAGATAAAGATGAAGCCGTTTTTAATTTAGAGAATGATCTTTGCCAGGGACAAACTGCTCTCACAGCAGTTGCCCATTGACAGTGGCCTTGATAACCCCCAAAGCAAAGGAAGGTAAAGAAATGTCTTCTCTCACTTAGTTCTTATGTGTGAATGTCTGAGGCTTCAGGGTTGGAGCACCGTCACCCTCACCATGTAACCCATGTGTCCTATCTAAGAACCTGTTCTGACTGGGCAGACACTGTGCTGGAACACAGTGTGGACACACTGGGGGCCCGAGTTATCCGCTCTATGGCTCACTTCCTTGTTTGATGATGTTGGGTTCTGAGTCTCTATTCAGCAGCATCTTTGAGCCCAGCTCATGGCCTCCCACAAGTCACTTTGGCTGTAAATAATGTGACTCCACAAGAGAGCCCTCACATGGGTCTGCTGGCCAAGGCGTGAGTGTCAAGGACTACCACTCACTGCAGAGAACTCATCCCTACAGTTCTTAAGGACAGAATGGCTAGTTCTTGGTGAGGCTTGCGGCCTGCATGGGCTTTTCTACAGAGGGACAAGTGGCACTTGCTTTTAGAACACTGTGGATCTCTGAGAGAAAATAAACCAGGAAATGTTCTCTTCTTGTTCTTTGGGAATATATGTATATGTTCTGGTCAGTGTCAATAAATACCTTTTACCTCATTATTTTACTCTGTAACTTTAATATTAAGCATAGGACCATAGCAAAGTATGCATTGCACACACACACACACACACACACACACACACACACACACACACACACACACACAGATAGTCCTTATGGAAACTGAAAAGGAAGGGGAGGCATTAATTTCATTCAGAATTGTCTCAATGACCAGAGGAAACATGACGTGACGGGAAGAGAAATTACTCGGATCCCAACTTATTTTTCCTGAATTTATAAAGTGTGTCTACATTATATTTTCACTTACATAAGTCAAATCTTAAGGTTTTAAAGAATCTCTTTTGAGGGGTATACTTTTCCAGATCCTGCTACATCTATGCTTTTCTTAAAGTGCATTTAAAAGTTTGGTGACTAAATTTTCCCCAGAATGCATGGCTATTAAAATTCATACCACTTACTAAAACTCTGCCCTGTCACTTTACCCCCAAGGCCAACTCCTAATGAAATGACACCCTGCCCCGTGCCTAGGAAGAGAAGCCTTTTTCTGGATCCACTAAAGTTGACCTCAAAATCCTATGTCCCTTGAATGGAAAGCTTAGAGCTATTTCAATCCGAATCTTTGCTCTGATAACCATAAATATCTTCCCCCATTTTTTCATGACAGTAGAAATGAAAATAGTAAAAATATGTAAAGATGTTAAAAATCCCCAAGGGTTCTGCTTTAATATCTGTGCTCAGTTGACTTTCAAGCCCTGAAAACCAGAGCCTTCATGCAGCCCCTTTGGGACAGCCTGGGCAGTTTTTGAGATGCTTACATTTGGGCTATTCTCTTATTTAATATTTTGATGTTTTAACTGGTGCCGTTAAATGTCTAAGCTTCCTCAGGAAGTCCTTCCTTTTTACATGCCTTTACTGTGTAAAGCACAGATCCTCTACCACTGGGATGGCTCCTATGTTAAACACATTGTTACCACTGTCTTGATAGCAGGGCATGGGCCTTGGAGATGCAGTTAAATCACAAGAGTAGAGCCTGCATAGATGGTGTTAATTAGCAGGAACCTTGGGGAAAGTCCACAGTCCTTTCATCAGGTGGAGGACATGGCAAGAAGGCATTTTCTGTAACCCAGGAATTTGGCCCTCATCAGACACCAAATCTACTAACACATTGCTCTCAGATTTTCCAGCTCTTGGAGTGTTGAGACATAGCATTCTGTTTTTCATGAACTACCTAGCTGGTGATATTTTCTTAGGGTAGCCTGAACAGGCTAAGACAGAACTTAGCAGTGATTGTTGACTCTCTCACACAAAGTCACTAATCTTATGAGAAGACCACTGTTTTCCAGATCATACATAAGTGTCCCCCACAAGGATCTTCTGTACCCAGAAAGTTGAATCTTAAAGGAGGCAGTCATTCTTTTGTCCTGAAATGAGAAGCATACTGTTCTTTCCCTTCCAGGCTGCATGAATTTATGCATCAGCTCCAGTTCGAATTCCTTTGCATTTCATCAGGATGTGCAATGGCTGTATCCACACACCTTGTAGCAGGCTCACAGTGGGAGCCCTGTTCATTCATGAAAATTAACAAAAATACTTGCTGCTGAGGAGGTGTGTGTGTGTGTGTGTGTGTGTGTGTGTGTGTGTGTGTGTGTACACACACGTGTGCACACTCGTGCGGGTGTGCACATAAACATTAAGAAGGTAACACAATTCAGTCACAAGATAACAGGTAATATAAAGGAGTAGGTATTCCTTCCCATGACCCGAGGTCACTCATGTCCTACCCTCTCTGACTTTCCCATCGAAGAGCAGCAGTGCTTAACTATTGGGAGAACAGGTTTTGAAGCAAATGTCCTGAGTCACTGGCTGTTTAACTCCTTGATATTTGGCTTTACCTCTCTGATTCTTCATCTATTAAAAATCAGGATAATTACCTTGTGGGATTGTTGTGACCAATGTGATTAGAAAAGAGTCTAGAGCATCAATCTAGACTGGTCTAGAGTGGTCAATCAAATACACGTTATGTTATCTCTTTTAAAATTCTATTAATAATTGCTCAGCTTAGCCCCAAACATTAGGAAGATGGCTCTTTCTTGCCAGAAGCTGTGAATGGAGACTATGAGTGCTTAGAGATGCTAGGGATGGCATTGGAATAAGTTCCCAGAAGGCTAGCTTTCAACTTATTTCATCCCTAAATGTCACTCATATTTTCAACAAGCATGTATTGACGGTATGCAAGAGGCCAAGCAGCCTGTCAGGGATGAAATGAAGATGAACAAGTCCACATATCTGCACCAGTACATGAGTAGATGGTCCTGAGAGTGGCCCAGAAAACAACCTGGAGACATGCAGGTTACTATGAGAACTCACAGAAGAGACTGCTGGGGAGCAGTATAAGTGGAACTGGGCGGGGAGGGGGGGTATGCTAAAGAAAGAGATGCCTGTGTCGTCAATAGTAGAGTAGGTGGAGAAAACATTTCCGGCAAAGGAGAAGGAGTACTAGTCTGGAAATATAAAATGAGAAGATAGAGATGTTGTAGTAGGCATTTGGAAGGGCCCATTAATGAGTTCCTTCTCCTGAACTAGGTGTCCTGTGAAATGGTCTTACACATGTAGCAGGGAAATAAGGAAACCGGCCCATCTCACCCTGACTGGGTTTCCCAAAAGGCCAAACTATGGACTGGAGAGGAATATCTGTTTCCATGTGAGCATGCGCTTAAATTGTGATGAAATTCCCTTATCTTGTACCCTTTCTATACCAACCTCACTAGCAATGTGGATTCTAGTCAAATTGGCATTGGCATGTCTGCCTCCTTGGTCCTAAGTTGTACTGGAAAAGAAGTGAAGGAGTCCCTGGGACCCCTGAAGATGCAGATTGGATTGAGTTCCAGAGAGAGCTTCAGAATGCTTTGGGATGAAACTGGGAAATTGTATGATGAGCCACTAGATAGGACTATGAAGGGAAAGGGAGGAGGGAAGGGGACATCTCACTTTCTTCTGCTGCTTTCTTCTCTTTGTCGATTCTTCTACTGCCTCTAGATCCCATTTTCATTTACCATTAGAGACTTATGCAAAAGAAAACAGAAAAGAAAGAAAGAAAGAATGAAGGAAGGAAGGAAAGAAGGAAAGGGAGGGAGGGATGAGGCACATGGATAGAAGATTCCAGAATCTTACGATTGACATGAAGAAATCAGTGTTCTTCCCTGACTGGCTCCTCTGCACAGATGTCCCCATGTTGGTCTGGCTGAGGTGTCCCCCATAGTCTTGGGCATTCAAATACTTGGTCTCTCCAGTTGGTGGCACTGTTTGGTTTGGCTTAGGAGGTGTGGCCATTCTATAAGAAATATATTACTGGAGGCAGGTTTTGATTTTAAGACTTCTGCCATTTCTAGTTTGCTCTCTCTGACTCATGCCTGGTCCTGCTGCCATGCCTGATGCTTGTGGCCATGTCTCCCTGCCATGAGAGACTTTTATCCCTCTGGAATCATGAGCCCAGATAAAATCTTTGTTAGGTTTCCTTGGCCGTGGTTTTTAGCAAGAGTAAGAGAATAAGAGAGTATGGCGTAAAAGAGGCAGTAAAAAGATACTGAAAAGCCAAACAGCCCTGAGCTCTGCTTCCTGAATGTCTTCAGCAGTACTAGCTTCCACAACCCAAAGGTCCCATTCACAGAACATGGACTAACAGGAGGCAACACCTATGCTCCTGAAGTCCAGCGTGAGAGAGTCCTGCAGCCAGCTGGACAGTGCTTCAGCTTTGCTTCTGGGCTGAGTTGCTTATCTATTAAGTGGGGGTATTGGCAAAAGCCATACCTTGCAGAACTGTAGTGAGAACTATCTGAAGCAAGTCCAGGACAGAAAATGGCACACAACAAGCACTCTAAAAGTGAATTTTAACTCACAGGCCTGGCAATGGTGCTGGTCAGTTTACCTCCATCTCTAGCTGATCCAGGGATCCATGGAGTCTCAGCTCCAGGGAAAGTTTAGCAAGTTCCCCTTGTCCTAATTGCTCACTGCAGGGCCCCCTTTTCTCATAAAAGAACCCTTACTTGTCTGTTAAGATTCATTTTTAATTTACCTATTACTTTGTCTGTGTTTTCCCCCTTCTTTCTCCTCAGATGACTTCTTTGTGTTGCCAGCCTGTGTGTAGTAGGGGGCAGTGAAGGTAGAGGAGTTAGATGCTCAGTAATGGTTTACTTCTGGATAG